TTGGGCGATCTTTGAGGGCACTTGGGCCGTCTCGGGCCGTCGGAAGGCAAGCAAAAACAAATGCCACAATCCTTCAAACACTCATGGGAAATAACTGGTGTTGGTCTTTTCGGCCCTTCCTGGAGGCCCTCTTGGAAGCCTCTTGGGCCGTCTTGGGCCATCTTAGGGCCATGTTCGGCCGTTTTGGTGGACTCCTGGCCCGTCCGACGCCGTCGGAAGCCGTTTGGGGGGCCCCTCTGGGCCGACTTGGGGCCCTCTTGGAATGCTCCAGGGCCGTCTTGGAGGCCATCTTGGGCGCCTTAGAAGCCTCCTTGGCTGTCTTTGGGGCCTCTTAGGGCCGTCTTGGGGCCCTCTTGGGCCGTTTTGGGGCCATCTTAGAGGCCTCTTGAGCGATCTTTGGGCGATCTTTGGGGGCTCTTGGGCCGTCTCGGGCAGTCGGAAGGCCGAAAAGAAGCAAATGTGAAAATCCTTCAAAAGCACATGGAACATCTATGTTTGGGGCCTTTTTCTGGCCTTCCTGGAGGCCCTCTTGGAGGCCTCTTGGGCCGTCTTGGGTCAGCTTCGAGCCAACTTCGGCCATCTTGGTGAACTCCTGGCCCGTCCGACGCCGTCGGAAGCCGTTTGGGGGGCCCCTCTGGGCCGACTTGGGGCCCTCTTGGGGTGCTCCAGGGCCGTCTTGGAGGCCATCTTGGGCGTCTTGGAGGCCTCTTGGGTCGTTTGTGTGCCCTCTTGGGGCCGTCTCGGGGGCCTCTTGGGAAGTCCTTAGGCCATCTTGGAGGCCTCTTGGGCGCTGTGGGGGTATTGGGGGCCTCCTGGGCCGTCTGGGGTCATCGGAAAACAGAAAAGGAGCACATACGAAACACATTTTAAAACCTAAGGAAAATAATGATTGTGGCCTCTTCGGGCCCTCTTGGAGGACCTCTTGGAGGCCTCTTGGGCCGTCGTGGAGGCCTCTTGGGCACCTCTTGGGCCGTCTTGGGCCGTCTTGGAGATTTCTTGGGCGGACTTGGAGGCATCTCCTCCTCTCTTGGGCGGACTTGGAGGCCATCGGAGGCCATCGTGGAGGGAAAATCGCGCAATTGAGCTCCTTTCCGGGTGGCCGGCGGGACAGGCCGACGCCCCAGGGGGAGTTCTTTTGGAATAAGAACCAACACCCAAACCGAGAGGATCCAGCACGCCAGGCACCCCTGATGAATCAACAGGGGGCGGCGGATCGAAGACGCCTACGGCGAATCACCGCCGCCCCCTGCCTTTTTGGAAGCGCCTAAGTGGCCGAACGTTGAGGCCAGACCTGCCAAGCTATCGGACCATGTGTTCCCCGAATCGGTTTGGAAAGCCTTCGGGGAACACGTGGGTATTTTGAAGGTCATCTTGGCCGTCTGGAGGCCATTTTGACCCTTTCGGGCCTTGGAGGACGTCTTGGAGGCCTCTTGGACCGTCTTGGAGGCCATCTTGAGCGTCTTGGAAGCCTCTTGGGCCGTCTGGGGGGCCTCTTGGGGCCGTGTCTTGGGGGCACTTGGGCCGTCTCGGGCCGTCGGAAGGCAGACAAAACCGAGCAAATACCATAATGATTTTGGCCTTTTTCGGGCCGTTTGGGGGGCCTCTATGGGCCGACTTGGGGCCCTCTTGGAATGCTCCAGGGCCGTCTTGGAGGCCGTCTTGGGCGTCTTAAAGGCCTCCTGTGCCGTCTTGGGGGCCTTTTGGGGCCGTCTTGGGGCCCTCTTGGGCCGTTCTGGGGCCATCTTGGAGGCCTCTTGGGCGATCTTTCGGCGATCTTTGGGGGCACTTGGGCCGTCTCGGGCCGTCGGAAGGCCGAAAAGAAGAAACGTCAAAATCCGTCAAACACCTTAGGAACATCAAGGTTTTGTGCCTCTTCTGGCCTTCCTGGAGGCCCTCTTGGGGGCCTCTTGGGCCAGCTTCGAGCCAACTTCGGCCATCTTGGTGGGTTCCTGGCACGTCTGACGCCGTCGGGAGCCGTCTTGGGGGCCTTTCTGGGCCGACTTCGGGCCCTCTTGGGGCGCTTCGGGGCCGTCTTGGAGGCCATCTTGGGCGTCTTGGAGGCCATCTTGGGCGTGTTGGAGGCCCCTTGGGCCGTCTGGGGGGCCCTCTTGGGGCCGTCTTGGAGGCCACTTGAGCCGTCATGGGGCCTGTTTGGGGGCCTCTTGGGCGATCTTGGGGGCCTCTTGGGCCGTCTTGAGCCGTCGGAATGCCGAGAAGAAGCAGATGCCAAAATCCTTCAACAACCTTGGGAAAAAACAATGACTTGGGCCTCTTCGGGCCCTCCTGGAGGACCTCTTGGAGGTCTCTTGGGCCGTCTTGGAGGCCGTCTTGGACCATCTTGGGCGGACTTGGAGGCCATCTTGGGCCATCTTCGCGATTTTCTGAGGATGTCCCGAGCGAAACGGCCGTTTTTGGCGTTGGGAACCGGGTCTTCGGGGTGGCCGGCGGGACGGGCCGAAGCCCCAGGGGGAGTTCTTTTGGAAAAAGAACCAAAACCAAAAGCCATATCATCTGGCACGCCAGGCACCCCTGTTGCAAGCAACAGAGGGCGGCGGATATGTGGCTATTGTGGGCCTCTTGGGGGCTTCCGGGGCTCCAGGGGGCCTCTTGGGGGCCTCTTGGGACCCCGACGTACATCACACACAGAGAAAACAACACAGCACACACAACATACAGAACACAGAGCACACGCAACGTACACACAACACACAATAGACTACACATACAAAACACGCGCCGAACACACACAGACACACACACACACACCATCACACACACTCACACACACAAACATACACATACACGTACACACAACACACACAACACACACACACACAAACACACACATACGCACATACCACACACATGTCCTATATGTGTATCCATGTGTGATTATATGTGTTCGCATCTTATACCTGCAATCCACGGAGCACTGGACATACACTGCACACAACACATAACATACCCAGGCCACACCCAGAACACACAATACCTACAACCCACACCACTCAACACACACACACACACCACATATACACATCACACACAACACAAACAGCACACAACACACAACACACTTGCCACACACACACGCTCACGCTCACACATACACACACGCGCAGCAACACGCGCACACAACACACTTGCTACATACACACAGCACACGCGTCACACAACACAACACACACGCACACACATTGCACTCTTGTTTGCATGAGCCAGGGCACGCACGTGTCACTTGTAGACGTCTATGTGTGAGCATACGCACATCGATATGTGTAGTTACGTGTGTATCTATATATATATATATGTACGTACAGGTGGATGTGTATCATATGTCCGAGATCAATGAATATGGAATTGGTTGACCTGTTGGGGGGGCTTGCTGGAGCAAACAGTGCAATTATGCAAGACCACAGCCAGCGCAGCAGACTCAAACCAAACAACCGAAGCAGGGCTGATTGAAACGTGCAACTGTACTGTTGCGCCGTCTATCCAGACATCTGGCGAGGTATTGTGTCTTGTCAATCCGCGGGCCTCAGGTGGCTCGATCCCTTCTCGGGGCCAGCTTGTCATTTCTGACGTCTTTCTTGGTTGCCCTGGGACTGGACAACTGCACCCGAAGGCAGCATCTAAGAACAAGGCGACGGGATTGCAATCCATTCTCCGACAAGCTCAGGAGGGCGGTAGGGCAAGCTAGGTGCGCTCGCGTCATATCTGACGTCCCACCCCTCCCTCCCATCACTCACAATGGCGTAGATGTCCTCTCTATTCGCGCAGTCGGATGTCGTAGCACGGCATGACATTACATGGCGTAGCATGGTGTTGAAGATCAGAGCGTAGCCTGACATAGCATGGCGTGGCGACGCCCCAAACTGGGGGGGGGAAGCTTCCGCGGCCCGAAGAATCAACGAATCGACACCGAATGTGGAATCACTTCCGATGGCTGTTTCGGTGGGAATGTTTTAGATTGTGGATCCTATTTGGGAGGGCCGAAAGCCATGCCGTTGCATGGCGCTGGCAAGAATGACGCCAGCGCTGCAGCGGGAGCACGATTCGGAACGAGCGGAAGCGCAGAAATGAGGCCACCGTTGCAGCGGGAGCACGATTCGGAGGACGTGTAGCCTGACGTAGCATCGCATGGCGACGCCCCAAAGTGCGTGGGGGCCTCTGCGAGCCCAAAAATCAACGAATCGACACCGAATGTGGAATCACTTCCGATGGTGATTTCGGGGGAGCATCTCTTAGATTTTGGGGCCTATTTGGAAGGACCGAAAAAGATGCCGTGGCATGGCGCTGGAAAGAATGACGCCAACGCTGCAGCGGGAGCACGATTCGGAACGAGCGGAAGCGCAGAAATGAGGCCACCGCTGCAGCGGGAACACGGTTCGGAACGAGCAGTAGCCCGAAAATGAGGCCAGCGCATCAGCGAGAGCAGCATTTTGAAACAACCAAGCGAAAACCCGGTTCCGGGAATCTTGTGTGTAAAAGACTAGTACGCGGAGGGGGGCCGAACATTTCCCGGGCGTCACCAGGGGAGAGAGGAACGTAGTATTCATATTCTGTAATTGTGGAGAGGGGGCGGCGTCTTAGAAACAGGCTTGCTTCTCCGATGGCGCGGGCCTCGACTGTAGATGTAAGGCCCGCGCCTTCTGAGAAGCAGCCTCCTTCTCATAAGCCTTCCCCTCTCCACCCACCCCTTTGTGCGAGCCGCCAAATGGCAAGTCATGGGAGCCTCTCGTGTACCCTTGTAACTCCGTCTTCGAGCGCACTCGCGTCGATCAGCGCTGGGTCATCGATGCGATGGCGCCAGCTTCGCGTCGACTAGCGTCGATTTAGCGTGGATCGGCGCCGGTGAGCGTCGATTCAGCGTGGATTTGGCGTGGATCGGCGTGGATTTAGCGTCGATCAGCCCTCTGCGCGCCGCCAAGAAGAAGCAACCCGCCCGACGCCCAGGGCAGTCCAGCCGCGGCAGCCTGCCCGCCCCCCCCTCCTGCAAGGAGCGGGGCCTTTTGCCGCCGCGGCCCTACGCCGGCAGCCTGCGGTGAGCGCGAGCGCGCGTCTGTTTCCGCTGTTTCGGGGGCAACGGCAGGGGGGATAGGCATAGGGGGGGGACGCATCGACCCTCCATCGCCCAGTGATCGCCGATAGGGGCCCGATAGCCCCACCCGCCCAGGAAGGTGCGGATTCATCATCGGGGGGCTATCGCCGATCTATCGGCGATGTATCGCCGATTCCAGGTCGATGTATCCCCCCACATGCCTATCCCCCCCTATCGTTGCCCCTCACTGTTGCGCTCCGACCATCGGCGGCGAGCCTGGGGGGAAGTGAGAAGGGCGGGAAAACAAAGAATGGCATACGCATAAAGTTTCGACGGTCCACGCGGATTTCTTGGATTTGCGCTGGGGCCCCCTGGCGGCGCCGGAGGCGCCGCCCCTGGCGCTCTCCGCGCGCCTGGGAGGAGGTTCCAGCGCAGATCCAAGAAATCCGTGCGGAGCTTCGACAGCTTATCGTTATGCCACTTGTTCTTCCGCTTAGAAGTGAGAAGGGGCGAGCCTTCTCCGAAGGCTCGGGAGTCCTGAGGCCTCCGGAGGGGTTTCTTAAGCTTTCCCCGAAGACACCGAACACTTCTCAGAAGGCCGGAGGGCTTCTGAGAAGCCCCGCCGCCTTCTGATAGGGCCTTCTCCTTGTCACTCCCCCCCTCGCTCGCCGCCGTTAGCAGCTGCTGCTTGTGGTGCTCCATCGTCAACTACACGTAGCATTGACCTTTCGCCAGAGTGACCTTTGTTGCGGGTCCAGTGGGGTTCTCCGATCGCAGACAAGTCGCGCACCAAAGGTCACGCTTGCCCTGGGTCACTCTTACGTGTAGCCGACATCGTCAGATCTCCGCCTTCTCGACTCAGAGGAGGAAAGGGTGCCCATACTGCTACCCTTCCCTCGTCTTCCCCTTTTGGTGCCTACTGGGAGGCCCTCGTCGCAACCGCTGAATCCGCATCGAAATTCTGGTCAGAGCGCACCCCAGGAGAGGTCCGAGGAGTAGCGGTATCGGTACCCTTTGGTTTCTCCCGTGGTGTTCCATCACCGGATCACCGCTTGCTCTACTCCTCCTCAAGCTCGCAGAGCAGATACACATTGCGTGAACATAAACGTCAGGGAACTAACAATGACATGAACATGACAACTCGGAGGTCCGCGCGGATTTCTCGGATCGACGCTGGACCCCCCTCCCTGGCGCGCGGAGCGCGCCAGGGTCTGCGCCAGAGGCGCCGCCACCAGGGTGGCGCAGCGCCGATCCGAGGTATCCACGCGGACCTCAGAGTTTTTCCCAACCCTCCTTGGTTAAGTATGCGTTTTGAATAGAGCACTGCGGTCTCCAGTCCTTCTCCTCCTCCTCCTCCTCCTCCTCCTCCTCCTCCCGCCTCCTGTCTCCCGCTCCCCTCTTGTCTCCTCCTGCTTTGTGCGGATTTCGCCATCCCTAGGGGGCTGCGCTGCTGGGGAGGCCGTCCCTGGGGGGGGGATCTGCGACACTGTCGCCACTTTCGAGGGCTGCTGGTGGGTCCTGCGGAGTGAGGCACCCCGGCTGGGATCTGAGCGGGACCTAGCCGTCCCTGGCTGCGATGTGCGATACGGTCGCCACTTTCGAGGGCTGCTGGTGAGTCCAGCGGAGTGAGGCACCGCGGGGATCTGAGCGGGACCTCGCCGTCCTTGGGGGGCTGCGATCTGCGACACCGTCGCCACTTTCGAGGGCTGCTGGTGGGTCCTGCGGAGTCAGGCACCGCGGGGGTCTGAGCGGGACCTCGCCGTCCCTGGGGGGCTGCGATTTGCGACACCGTCGCCACTTTCGAGGGCTGCAGTGAGGCACCGCGGGGATCTGAGCGAGACCTCGCCGTCCCTGGGGGGCTGCGATCTGCGACACTGTCGCCACTTTCGAGGGCTGCTGGTGGGTCCTGCGGAGTGAGGCACCGCGGGGATCTGAGCGGGACCTCGCCGTCCCTGGGGGGCTGCGATTTGCGACACTGTCTCCACTTTCGAGGGCTGCTGGTGGGTCCTGCGGAGTGAGGCACCGCGGGGATCTGAGCGGGACCTCGCCGTCCCTGGGGGGCTGCGATCTGCGACACAGTGGCCTGTTTCGATGGCTGCTGGTGGGTCCTGCGGAGTGAGGCACCGCGGGGATCTGAGGTAGACCTCGCCGTCCCTGGGGGGCTGCGATTTGCAACACTGTCGCCACTTTCTAGGGTTGCTGGTGGGTCCAGCGGAGTGAGGCACCGCGGGGATCTGAGCGGGACCTCGCCGTCCCTGGTGGGCTGCGATTTGCGACACTGTCGCCATTTTTGAGGGCTGCTGGTGGGTCCTGCAGAGTGAGGCACCGCGGGGATCTGAGCGGGACCTAGCCGTCCCTGGGGGGGCTCTGGGGAGCTGCTGTGGGATACTTTGGGCGCGACAGGCGCATGGCACAGCCAGCGGGGGTGATTTGTGAAACAGACCATCTGCCGGGCGATGGCTATACCGTTGCGCCTACACGTATCCCGCGGGGGTTCTCAAGAATTGCTATGGGATGCGGTGGGTGCAACGGGCGCATGGCACAGCCAACGGGGGTGATGTGTTATTACGTAGGCCTTAGATCTTGATCAGGGGCCTTGACCAGGGGCCTGCGAGCCTTCCGATTGCTGCTCGCAAAATCACATGCGTCCATGTTGCGTCATCACCCCCGTTGTAGCAATCCTGATGGACTTATGCCCTGCATTGCGCAAGGGTTGGGTACGTCGCCAGGGTAATGTTCCCATCTCTCCTTGGTTGGGTATTCGTTTTGAATAGGGCACTGTGGTCGCGTCCTTCTCCTTCCCCCGCCTCCCGTCTCCCGCTTCCTTCTTGTCTGCTCTTGCCTTGTGCGGACCTCGCCATCCCTGGGGGGGAGGGGGCTACGATCTGCGATACGGTCGCCACTTTCGAGGGCTGCTGGTGGGTCCTGCGGAGTGAGGCACCGCGGGGATCTGAGCGCGACCTCGCCGTCCCTGGGGGGCTGCGATCTGCGACACCGTCGCCACTTTCGAGGGCTGCTGGTGGGTCCTGCGCTGCGATCTGCGACAGTGTCGCCACTTTCGAGGGCTGCTGGTGGGTCCTGCGGAGTGGGGCACCGCGGGGATCTGAGGTAGACCTCGCCGTCCCTGGGGGCTGCGATGTGCGATACGGTCGCCGCTTTCGAGGGCTGCTGGTGGGTCCAGCGGCGTGGGGCGCCGCGCGGACCTGAGGTAGACGTCGCCGTCCTTGGGGGGCTGCGATCTGCGAATCTGTCGCCGCTTTCGAGGGCTACTGGTGGGTCCAGCGGAGTGAGGCACCGCGGGGATCTGAGCGGGACCTCGCCGTCCCTGGGGGGCTGCGATCTGCGACACCGTCGCCACTTTCGAGGGCTGCTGGTGGGTCCTGCGGGGTCAGGCACCGCGCCAATCTGAGGTAGACTTCGCTGTTCCTGGGGGGCTGCGATGTGCTAAATTGTCGCCACTTTCGAGGGCTGTTGGTGGGTCCTGCGGAGTGAGGCGCCGCGCGGACCTGAGGTAGACCTCGCCGTCCTTGGGGGCTGCGATCTGCGACACCGTCGCCACTTTCGAGGGCTGCTGGTGGGTCCTGCGGAGTGAGGCACCGCGGGGATCTGAGCGCGACCTCGCCGTCCCTGGGGAGCTGCGATCTGCGACACCGTCGCCACTTTCGAGGGCTGCTGGCGGGTCCAGCGGAGTGAGGCACCGCGCAGACCCGAGGTCGACCTCGCCGTCCCTCGGGGCTGCGATCTGCGACATTGTCGCCACTTTCGAGGGCTGCTGGTGGGCTCGCCACTTTCGAGGGCTGCTGGTGTGTCCAGCGGGGTGAGGCACTGCGCAGACCTGAGCGGGACCTCGTCGTGCTTGGACGGTCATGTCATGTTGTTGCTGCCCCGCCGACGTTTCAAGTCCCTTGCTCACAGTCTGCTTTTGGACCTTGCGTCTTCCTTAGTGAATCAGGGGTTCACTTAGTTACTCATGGTTTTTCCTTTGCTTGGGGACCTGCGAACCTTCCGAATGCCGCTCGCAGAAGTATATGCGTCCATGTCACGTCGCCGCCTTCTCGTCAAATCTCCCAAGCTACTCCTGCCCCGCATTGCGCAGGGGGTGGGTACGTCGCCAGGCTAATTGTTTTTTAGTATGTGTGGGATATGTTTTCATTTTGTCGTCCAAAGTCCCCCTGTAGGGGGACAGGCCCGACCTAACCATAGAGGTTGGCACCAACACCAAGATCGGCAGCGAGCCTCCACGGAGGGAAGCTGCAGCCACGCGCAGGAGGGAGGTTTGGGGTTGGGGGCGGGGGAGGGCTTCTTGGAAACACCCCTGCTTCTCAGAAGGCGCGGGCCTTGTCTGCAGATGGCAGGCCCGCGCCTGCTCAGCAGCCTCCTTCTAAGAAGCCTTCCCCCCTCCCCCCATATCCCCCTCTCTGTGCGCGCCGCCAATGAATGAGTGGCAATGTTCGGGCTTTTCAGGTGGCCGAAAGGTTACCGCCAGCACCAAAAATTATCCCAGTGCGACCCTACCTAGGAGTTGGAGCCCCTTGGAAACCAGCATTAGTAGTAACGGTAAAGCTAAGTTAAAGCTAAGAACGGCCCCTTTAGCGTAGAGAGTAAGAACCCTCTAGGCAGAGCCTAGGTATAGGGAACCCGGGATCGCCCTCCCCTGGTGGACGCACCCCCCCTGCTTTGGTGCTGGTGCCCACTCCCGAACCTCCATCTCGGTGATCGTGGGAATGTTCGGGCTTTTCAGGTGGCCGAAAGGTTACCACCAGCACCAAGAACCCGGGATCGCCCTCCCCTGGTGGACGCACCCCCCTGTTCTGGTGCTGGTGCCCCCTCCCGAAGCTCCAAAATCTTTGGGGGAAAGGGCCGCGCGCGGAGCAGGGCACGACGGCTCGGGGCCAGCGCCTGGCGGCCTCCCCCTGCTCCAGTCCTCGCGGCAGCGGGTGCCTCGGCGGGGAGGAGGAGGAGGAGGAGGAGGAGGAGGAGGAGGAGGAGGAGGAGGAGGAGGAGGAGGAGGAGGAGGAGGAGGAGGAGGAGGAGGAGGAGGGATGAAGTAGGGAGGAGGAAGGAGGAAGAGGAGGAAGGCGGAGAGGAGGAGGAGGGAGGAGGAGGAGGAGAAGAAGGAAAAGGAAAAGGAGGAGGGGGGGGAGGAGGAGAACCAGCTCTGCCTCTCCCTCTCTCTGTTCGGGTGTTGCTGGACGTGGTCCCGGCCCGAGATGCCCCCGTCTTCCCGCGCCACTCGGTAGCCCCGGGGGGGGGGGGCACATGGGCCACGGGACGGGTGCCCCGGAGGCCATCTGGGCCTCCCCAGGAATTTGGGGGGCACCTCGGGCCACGACGCCTTGGGCAACACCCGATCCTCGCTCTCTCTCTGTCTCTCTCTCTCTCTCTCTCTCTTTGTTTCTCTCTCTCTCTCTCTCTCTCCCTCTCTCTCTCTCTCTCTCTCCTTGTTTCTCTTTCTTTATCTCTCCCTCTCTCTCTCTCTTTCCTGTCCCTCCCCCTAGGGTGATACGCGATTCGGAGAGTTGTAGGGACCGAGGCGTCACGGCAGGAGACCATTGAAAAACGGCCGCAATTCACAGCTTCTCAGCGTTACAGAGCCGATTCCACATGCTTGACGAGGATCAGTTGAGATTGGGACTTCACCTCCTGGAGCTCCTCATTCGGAGTGTGATCCTCGCTCCTCCATGCCGCATTCCATCTTAACCAGAACGCCTTGCACTGCTTCGCCCAGGTATACAGTATGCCGAGAGATGGCGCACCAGTTGCACGATTTTCGGGTATGTATGTGTGTACATGTGTATGTATGTATGTATGTATGTATGTATGTATGTATGTATGTATGTATGTTTGTATGCATGCATGCATGTATGTATGTATAAATGTATGTATGTATGTATGTATGTTTGTATGTGTATGTATGTGTGTATGTATGTTTGGTTGTTTGTATGTACGTATGTATGTAGGTAGGTAGGTATGATTGCAGATATGTGCGTACGTATGTATATGTATATTATGTTTATGTACGTCTGCATGCATTCATGTATGTATGTATGGATGGATTTGCCTCCGTGCACCAACGCGT